AGGTTTTCCATCAACGACAATGACTTTCAGCCCTCTAAAACTTGAAGGAAGATCTTCCAAATTTTTCTTCATGTCAGCAGTAACCGAACTTTTCTTAAATGTTCCACAAACTGCATTAAACGAGAAAGTGCTCCCAACTTGGGGTCGACTAATGAAGTTTATCTTACCACCCATTAGTTCAACCAGACATTTACTGATACTCAAGCCAATACCAGTACCCCCATAATTTCGTGAAGTTGAGCTGTCAGCCTGCACAAAAGGCATGAATATTCTATCCTGTGCTGAAAAAGGAATTCCAATTCCAGTGTCCTCCACACACACCCTCAAGGTGACTTGCTCAGATGTTTCACAAGTAGCCTCCGTTTCTCTTGAAGAATCAAAGCAACATTTTTCTTCGTCAATTAGGTGCTTAAAATTATCCCAGCTGTTCCGTTCATCAGCTGCTTCACGTCCACTTAAGGTTTTGAACTCAGAACTATCAGATATATGGAAAACTTCATCTGATTCTCCGTTGAGAAAAGTCTCGTGCTTTCCATTCATTATGGACTTTCTATTGTCCGCCAGATGGACTTTGACAAATATATGTCCGTGTTCAGTAAACTGAAAGATGTGCAAATTAACTAGTAATGTTATCAACAAGCACCTTGTGAATATATTAAATGAATGCGACAGAAAAAACAATGAATATGAAGGATTCCAGCATGAAAATCATTTGCTCTCTTCCACAGTGGCCAGCTTAGTGGGGAGAGGAAAAGAAAAGGCTAAATCTAAAAGTTAAGTAAATTGAAACAGTCGGAATGACATTTCCAAATGCAAATAACATCAGCAAGATAAACATCAAGAATTCCACTTACTTTAACAGAGTTGCCAACAAGATTTGTTATTATTTGTCTGAATCTCCCAGGATCTCCCATGACAATATCCGGAACTTCATCAGAAACAAACACAGCAAGCTTTACTTCCACAATCATCAGTATAAGTTCAGGTTGAGGATCAGCATGACAATCAGGAACATGAACATCCAATGGCATAACACCCCAAAAAAGGTGAAGAAGAGATAAAAGAACAATATAAGTTCATCAATTAAAGAAAAAAAAAATGGTGAAATTTTATAACTTGGTCAAAGAAAAACAATCCCATGCCATTTGTCATAGGTTAGTCAACAATTAAGCATACCTCTAAACCTTTGTGTCTAGATTTCTCAGAAAAAAGGGAAAGGACATCATCAAGTATGGAACGAAGATCAAATGGAACAGCCTCCAGCTCTAACTTGCCAGCTTCAATTTTAGCTCTGTCCAGGACCTCATTTATTAATGTTATCAGTGCCTTTCCACATGCTTGAGCAGTCTGAGCATAGTCCCGTTGGGTTGAACTCAATTCTGTATCTAGAAGCAGACCAAGCATTCCTACAGTAATTTGGAGTTAAATGACCTCATCATCAACGGAAAAATGCAAGTTATGAAAAAATATATCATATTTTGTTAATAATGAAGAGAGGCAGACTCTTGAAGTTACCTAAAATACCATTCATGGGTGTTCTAATTTCATGAGAGACTGTAGCCAGAAACTGAAATTAAAAACAAAATTCAGGTTATTCTGATCAGAAGGCTATCCTTGAAATAATAAACCATGAGGATAACAATATATGAGGAAAATTACCTGGGACTTGGCAACATGGGCTGCTTCCGCTCGAACTTTTAATTCTGACATCTTTTGGAAATCATCTTCGACTTTCACAATATGATTTCCAGCACCATATAAAATGTAACCCACTAATATAAGAATCACAAAGAATAGGAATGCCGTGGTAAGAGCTATCCAATTTGTCGGTGCCTTCTGATGGTACCTATTCAAAATTTGATGATAACTATCTCTTGACAAGTCAAAATATTGAAGCTCCTTACTGAAAGAGTACAGCAGCCAGAAGCACCTACCTACATATCATTTGATGTTTCCTGTATGGATCTCCAAAATCAAGCTTGCTTTCATGCGCAAGAGACATATCACCTTCTTCATAGGGCTTGCCATACATTATTAGTGGATTAGTATAGTTTGTGATATCATATACATTCACCAAAATTGCTTGGTTACCAGCAAGTTGCCCAAGTAAATTCTCAACAAGGGACTCAACATCAAAGGATCCTCCAACATATCTGATGTCAATTAGAAATCTATTCAATACATTGGGACACTACTAGTTTACAGTAAACGAAAAGCCAAGATTGAGCCAAGGTTAGACAGGACAAGAAGATACGCCACACACATCCTGGCAGTTACATACAGAACTGAATTCAAAATTAAGTCCATTAAAAATAGAAAAACTAAAAGGCACATTTTTAAAGAAGATGGATTATGGATAAAACAGGAACAGTTAATTGATTATGCCAATTGCACCGGCAGCAGTCATCCTCAAACTCTTATAATGGTGGTCAGGGGAAATGGCAATGGAACCCAAAGTAGTATTGGTGGCAATAAAACTGGTAGGACAATGTCTCAGGGTTTATGATACCATCAAAATATAATGGTCATGCTTTAATAATTAGCATGACTTGTGATCCAATGGAAAAAAGAAGCAGCAGAGGCTTATACAATTACAGATTTGTGTGGAGAAATAAGTGCATTGACACTTGACACCAGAGCTGTGATCATTATTTAGGCTATGAAAACAACACACGCAAAACAGCTAAAGCTATATACTACCATGCCAGATGACACAAAGAATTGCCAAGAATATCACAAAGGAAACATGAAAAACAAAGTAGAAGAGAAATTAGAGCCCACCCTGCGGTAGCTTCAATACGTTCCTCCACCGTTGGCTTCTGAGGAAGCTTAGACTTGTACACAGGAAATGTTAAAACTACACCAAGATGGTGAGAACCCAACAGCCTGAAAGGGCTAGTCAGAACTGCTTTCCCAGTGGCTCTAGCCCTTAAAATGTTTTCTCGGTCTTCCTGAACATGCAAAAAGCAAATTTTGAAATGGAAATTTGGCAAAATATAGGTAGATGTTCAACAGAGTTGCAATCTACCTCTCCAGACATCATATCAAGAGACTCAAGATATGAGACAGTTTCTTGTGCAAATATCACCGGAGCATACTCATCTCTAACCAGTGAAGACTTTTCTTCCATTGTCTTTATAACCCATCCATGTTCTTTCTCAAATCTCTCTCTCTCGGACTTAACAACTCTTTGTGCATATGCCACACCACTCAGTGATGGCCGTTCAAATGCTGTCCGTGCTGTATACTCAGCAAAGGTTTCCTATTTTATTACGAAAAATGAACAATAGTCAAGGTACAAGCACTAATTACTTGATCAATATGTAGAAGTATGAAAATCCCAAATAGTCTTTCATTTCTTTCAAACCATTACACGTATCATCATGCTTAGCCGTGTCAATTAAAAAATTAGGGCGGAAGAACAAGCACTAACCTGGTCAATGGCAGAAGGGTATCTGTAGTAATGGAAGGTTGAAACAAGGATGGCAAGGGCATGGACATGGTTAACACTAACAATAAACTGATCTTGTAGCATTCTTGCCCTTTGATCACAGAGGCTACCCAACACCTCCTTCCTTCTGACTTTAGTGTCGTCATCTATTTTGCTAAAGATGCACCAACTGATCAAAGCCATTAGCAGGATCCATAGCAGCAAGAACTTGGGAAGCCAAGCTCTATGAGCCTGAATGAAAGTGTACTTCCTTTTAGACCCCATTTGATCATGCAACCTCAAGGCCACAGAATGGTGGCTCTGCATCTTCAAACTAAGACCCATCAGCAAGAAATTCACACTCTGCCTAGTTTTCCTGAACTGTTATGCTGTATTATTCCCTTGCTCCCCTTCTGCCCCCTTCATATCTATATTTAGAGAAGCCCCAACAAGAGAAATTTATATAGTTAGTGCTCACATAGGAGTGTTTACTTTCTTTAAAGTTATGCCAAAATTGCAGACACTTTTCTCTGGTGGTGCTAGAAAAGAAAAAGGGTCACAGAACAAAACTCCATGTAAAAGCATCATTACAGCATTGTTTTTCGTGATCCAAAACATCAGAAAGGGCAAGCACAAACACACCAAGAATAATGAAGGATTGACCAATTCCCTTTCTTTCTCTCTCCTGACAAGCAAAACCGACTTCAAAAACCACCAAGACAAAAGGAAACAGAGAAAGAGAAAAAAACCCAGAATTAAAAAGAAGAAAACTTTCCAAGCTCAGAAACAAGCACGGGTCTCAAAAGATGGAAAAACAGCTCAAATTCCGAAGAGCCAGCACCTCCCTTACCCCCTCTCTCCCCCTACACCCAAACACTTGGCCTTGTCTCACACTCTGGAGTGCTGAGGATCACATTAAAAAACCCAATAGAACTCTAACCAATAATCATGCTATGTAGGCGTGAAAATGGTTCACACTCCCCCTTGCATATAATATTCCAAGCCAGGGAACACAAACACACACAACCCAATGAAAGAGAGAGACATAGATAGCAGTAATGGGGTTTTGTAGAGAGAAAGAATTACTAATAATGCTTATGTTTGTTTACCTGTAACAGGAAAGAAAGGGTGGCTGTACAATGAACCATAGGAACCAAGTTTTGTTTGGTCCAACTCTGTCTCTCACTCTAGTCTACACACTGCTGCTTTTTATTTTATGCCTTTTATGCTACTTTTCTCTGTTGACACTTTTTTTTATTTATATTAACAGATAAGAAAAAATCGAATTTTTGGGATTTCCCTTGATACGCTCTTGTCTCCCATGAGCTTCACCATAATAAAAAATACATAAAATAATTAATTAACACATTTGTCTACTACTCTACTCCCTACTAACCCTAATTTCTCTCTTTTTCTTATTGCAACTCTCATCTCTCCTCTTCTCTCTCTCTCTTTCTGTTTGTGGCACTAACACTAATGCATTTCACACCAACAGTGTCTCCCCCTTCTCAGTTCTGGTTGCTGAGAAGAGAAACTGAGAATAGAAAGAAAGAAACACCGTGTTCCAAAGATGGTGGAAAAGGCTTCAAAAAAAGCAACCTTTGTTGACCGGTGTGTGATGGAAAAAACTGAACCAAACACTTTTTTTTATGTCTCTTTTTTCTTATCTCTATTGCTCAATACTCTAGAGTGCAATATTTTCTGTGTGGTCCGTAAGTGTTTTTCTGATTCTGAACATGAATCATTTCTTTTTTCTCACCTGGGTCTCTCTCCCTCACTTCCTTTCTTTGTTTCTTTACCTTTTTGTGTGTCCAAATATGAGGGATTAGAACACAGAAAAGAGAGAAATGAAAAAAAGAAAAAACTGCAAATGGCTTTCACAAATCTCTGTGATAATGACACGGTGACCAGGCAGGGATTTTATTCCCATATTGATTACCGGAAATACCCTTCCTTGTATTTTTTAGTTCCATAAACACCCTTCGGAGATAATTACGAATTATCTGCTGTCAGCGTTGATTAATAATGTTTTGGACCCAAGAAACAAATCCATTTTCAGGCACATGTCAACAATTAATTCTCCTACATTTAATAGATGACAACTTTTTTAGGTTAAATACATAATGTATTCAATTTAAATTAAGTTCATAGATATTCATTAAAATCATAATCAAGCTTTGTTATTAAACATTAAAAAAAAAATAGAAAAGTGAAGAATACTAGGTCTTTAGTCTTCATCACTTCCTATTATAATAAAAGAAAATATGAATATATCTTGCTTTTTGCTAAGGCTTGACTCTATCACTCAAAAAAGCGAGGTGCACTAGATCTTGAACTCAATTATTTCAACTTTGATCTTCCCAAAATTATTTTATATGTTTATATTGGGACTTCAAAAGGTCATATTTTCAAATTGCCATGATCATTATTAAGACACATTTTTTTAATATATTATTCTACTACATCACCTATACAAACTCATTGATTTAAAAACTACATATTTGAAAAAAAAAAAACAGTGTTTAAGCCATAACATTTATAAAAAACAAGACAAAGAAAAATCATATATAATTATTTGTCATTTCAACCGTATATGTCATAATGAAGTACAAAACATGGAACATGGAACATGGAATGAAGCTTACCTTTAGAACAAGGAAATTAAAAAAAGTCAAGGTAGAGCCACAATTGTCCACCAAAGAAGAACACTTATCAACTCATTCTAGCAACACCACACCACTAACCTATCATCATCACAATCTACCCTCCATAACCCTAAATCTTCTTCGGGACAAACACAATCGCTAATGTTGATTGGTATTTTATAACCTTAAGAATTATTTTAAAATTCTATTTATTAAGAATCAATTTGAATTTTCAATTTATTATCATTATTTTTTAAAATTATTTTATCAATTTCAGTAACCAATTTCACATACGGTTAGAATTACAATTTCAAGAGTAAATTGATAACGAAGTGTGTCGAAGAAGTTTAGAGTGTGGTTGTAAGTATTTATAAGGCAAGGAGAAAGAGAGAGGGGTAAAACTGAGAAAGATGCAGAACGCGAACAAGAACGCAGTAGCGCTTCAGAACACGCATGTTAAACTTCTCGCCTTCGATCTTCTCTCCTTGACGCAATCCCCTTCCCATTCTCCCGACGCCGCCACGTCGTTTTCCCGTAGAGGAATCCCGCTCTCGTGCGTCGAAATTGTCGGCACAGTCACCTTGCGCCACCTCAAGCCTCAGAGCCTGCTCCGCTTCGCCGTTGACGACGGCACCGGCTGCGTCCCCTGCGTGCTGTGGCTCAACGATGCCGCCTCCCCCTCTGTCGCCCGCCGCCGCCGACACGAGCTCGCGGCGCGCTTCGTCGAAGTGGTGAAGATTGGCGCGGTGACTAGAGTGAGAGGCAGACTGAGCCGGTACAAGGGCGATGTGCAGGTGAGGGTGTCGGACGTGGTCGCTGAGAGAGATCCGAACGCCGAGATCTTCCATTGGCTCGATTGCGTCTCTTTAGCTCGCAACTGTTATAACCTTTTGCCTCCACCTTCTTCTTTTAGAGGATAATAATATTATTAATTAGTTCTGTACATGACAAAAAATGATACACATGTTACTTAAACGTTCTACATCAGTGTTGCACCACAAGATGAACCTTTTATGAGCCTTGATTGTTGTCTTTTTGGTGAATTGCCTTCATTATTTGGGGAGAGGGGATTTGCATCTAGGCACAAATTTCAAGAACCAAAGCAACACAAATTTTCAATTTCAAAGGTCAAATTGTATATTAGTAAATGTGCTGTCCACAATGTCCAAACAACCACAACACCACATTGATAGCACATGGTTAACATTGTCAAGTTTTCTGGATGTTTGCAGAACCAAATTGAACAAAATATTAAGTTATTCATATGACTGACTCTTGTCTGCATTGATACTGACAGTTTAGGCAAAATGTACTGCGTTTCTGGGCACTTATAATATCCTAATATATATACACTATTTATAGTGTTGAACAACCTATCTAATAGACAATAACACGACCTTTCTCAGATTCTGATCCATTGTTGTGAACATCTTCTGAGCCGTTTGAAAAATTTGATTGTGGATCCCTCCCGAAATTTTTTATGCCACTAATCAAATTGTTCTGAACATCTTCTCAACATCTGGTTGACGTACTTCCAGAATCTCTTGAACATTCTCTTGTGATTCCCAGTCTTCATTTTTGTTCCATGACAATAATAACTTATTCAGTTGCTTCCTTGACATATTGGCTTCTTTGGCATCCTTTACACTTTTACTTTCTCCAGAGGCCTGAGATGAAGATATCCTTTCAGCTTCAAGGATCCTAATTCTGCCACAAGGAAACATTTTTCCTTGACAACATAGGACGTGCTTAAATTCTTTAGGGAAGTCAACCTTCCCTGAGGGGCAAGCAACCTTCCCTGAGGGGCAAGCATGATAGTGAGAATCATCAATTCACAAATAGCTTTTGTAGAGATTTTATGCGTATCAAACTATTAGCCAACTTTTGGAGACTACTACGACAATATGGTCTAATATCAATATCTGCAAATTCCACAGATTACATAATGATTCTGGTAGAGTTTCAAAGCGGCCTCTAGAAAGATTCATGTACCTTAGATGTTTTAAACGACTAACTGAAGATGAAAATTCTTTTATTCCAACACAGTGAAGCGCCCGCAGAGGATGACATTTGACAACGTTGGAGAAAGTTGGCGACTATTCTGGTGTGGCAATAGATAGCTCCTCAAGGATTTCACCTGATGATACTGAAATGAAACAATCGCTTCTGCAGTAAAATCTGAGAGATTGTGGATTCTTTCTGACAAAGTTGTTACATCATTGTCCTTTGTAATGCAACAAACCTCTTCTGCCACAAATTTTGCGAGATCATGAACAAGATCATATGCATCTTGAAACTTTTATCCCTGCCAAATACATCTGTCTCACTGTCTTGAAAAGATGACCTCCAATACAATTCATGCCACACACTATCACCAACATCTTCAGCATCTAATATTTCGTTAGATGAAATAAATCCATTAGCCATCTAAGTTCAGTTAAATTTTCTTTCCATATTAATTTGGCTAAACACTGTCTGAGTTTTACTGGTAAATTCAAGTAACTTAGTCTCAAAGCTGGCAGTACAGAGTTCTCATCTTGTGGTAAATTCAACAGGTTGCTTTCCTTAACATAGAACCACACTTTCTTCTCTCGTTTAAAGCGTGAAAGACCTCCTAGTACTTCTCTCCTTAACATCATCCAAAACAAGGAAATATCTTTTACCATGAAGAAGCTCTTGGAAGTCTTATTTGCAGTGGCTCTAGATCCAAATCCTCACAAGCATGTCCGGATGCCGCTTCGATGATGGTTTTTGTCATTCTCTTCAAAGTGAAATCTTCAGAAACACATACCCAAATTCTTAGCTCAAAGTGGTCGACCACCCTCACATGATTGAAGATGAATTGGGCAACTGTTGTTTTACCAACTCCACCTAGATCCCCAATTGCATAGACTGACAAATTTTCCAACTGAGAAGCATCAGCATCGCCAGTTAAAATGTTCACAATTTTTCTTGTATCATCATCTCTTCCATAGACTCGTGGATCAGCGAAGAATGATCTCGTTTGACGCAACTCCATGACTCCACTTCTTCTAATTGATGGAGCCATCTAAATCAAATAAAACTTTTGTCTTTCTTCAGCAATTTCATCTAATTTATCACTTATCCTTTTCATTTTCTTTGCAATTTTGTATCGAAAAACATTATGTTTGAGATGAAAAGAGGAAAAGTGAGAGAGCTTTGTACCTCGTCCAAGATGTCTTCCAACTCGTAAGCTGCATCTTTTAGCTTTCTCAGCCAATTTATACCTTCATCTGAAAATTGTTTCTCCTCAACTTCATGAAGCACAGCTTTGACAGCAGTGAACATGCTATCAAGCTTTTCCTTGTCTCCATGGAAACCCAGCAATAGTCCCAGATTTCTTCCAGCAAGAGAGGCCAACTTTCTAAGCACAATTTCAAGGATAGCCTCGGGCATTTTCCAAGTTGTAGTATCTCACAAAATGAAAATTAAAAGAGGTTGAATGCTTCAGAAATGGCAATGCAATAATGAGATAACAAGCATATTAGAAGGTCAAAAACCAAACCAGTGAGGAGTGTATTACTATTCAGCTGAATCTTGTTCAAGTTGAAAAAGTCTCTCACGTAATTAATTGGTTCATGGAACCAACCACTTCTCCACTAGTTGGAAGAAAAATAAACACTACCATATACTTACGCACGCTGTACTAACAAGTCAAAATTTTGGTCCAATTTATGTGATATTATATTGGTGTCAAATTTTTAATCAGATTCGAAATTTCACCATTAAATAAAATTAATTTTAACTTTAATTGGAGAACACTGAACAAAATTATAATATTGAGTATAACTTTTGTTCTAAAATTTAGTGTATTTAGACATGCTAGCTAAAATATATTGGTATTAAAACCAAGCCATAATAGATGGTATTTTCGATTTCACCTAGGATGAAAGATCAGAGTAATAATTTAACCATATGTAGTCTCCAATTAAATAAGATAATTGTATTATAATAAGTTAAAAATATGTCAAACTTAATTTTACAAAATTAATTAATAATTTTACTATAGTGTTGGTTGAGGTGTATTAATAACAAGTTTATTATTAATTTGGTTAATGGATTTTATTTTATTTTTTAAATTGAGACTAGGTTAAAAAAAACATATTGTACTCTTTTATTAATAGTTAAAATGAATGATATGGTGTGTGAGATGAAGATGACGCAGTGCCGTCCGTTGCAAACCCTGAACCAACAAAACCCTTAAACCCCAAGCCTAAACAACAGGGAGAGTTCCCATTCCCTTCCATGGTCGTCGAATAACAACAATGAAAGCTTTCAGAACCCTAAGAAGGACCTTCCATTTCCCCACCTCTCGCACTCCCACCCCCTTTTTCTTCTCCGCCCAGCCACACCCTCACCACGATTACCCCACTACCTCCGCTGACGCCGACTCCGTCTTCGACAGTTCTCACTACGCCCTCCACCAGGAACCTGGGCCCAAGCCCAGCCCCACGTGGGACGACAAGTACAGGGCCCGCGCGGACCGTGTGGTGTTTGGGGAAGAGGGCCCGAAGGGGAAGCTGCGGCTGAAGGAGGAGGAAGATGAGAGGAGGAGGAGGGTTCTAGCCAAGGCCTTGCTCGAAGCTGCGATGGATAACGAAGAAGAAGAGGAAGAAGAAGCGAAAGGCGTGGTGAACGAGGAAGAGCAAAAGTCGTTGTCCGTGGGAATCATTGGCGCCCCCAACGCTGGCAAGTCGGCGCTAACTAATTTTATGGTTCGTTTCAAGTAATAATCATATCATTCGCAAATTCTCTAGTTACTTTTTAGTGTCTTTATTGATCTTACCGGTGTCCTTCAATGTTTTAAATTGCCGTCACGGTTGCAGTTTTGTTGCATTCCTTTTTGTTATGACAAAAAAATGTAGAGAAATACAAAAAATTGTGGACAAAAAAATGTGTTTCTTACGGCCACAATTTTGGTTGTGAATATCCCAAAATCCTTCATGTTCTGGTTCATATTGTGGTTGCTGACTGTTTCTGAGAAACCTTGTGTGATTTGATTATGTTCTTTGCGACTCACTGCAAAGGGGTTATGGGACTAAATTATTGTTTTAAGGCATCGGCTAGATGATCTTGTTTGACATTGAGTAGTAATAGATACCTTATGGACGAATTTTGAATTATCACTGATCTTATTTAGAAGTTGTTGATGCGTACCTGTATATGTTCAGAATTTATGCTTCCTAGCATCTGTGGTTGTGGATGATCTTTTCGTGGTATTTCTCATTGTCATGTATCCCTTTTCTGATTTGCCATAGGTTGGGACAAAAGTAGCAGCAGTTTCACGGAAGACGAATACAACAACTCATGAAGTTGTGGGAGTGTTGACTAAAGGAGACACCCAAATTGTGAGTGACTCGTTTGATTGTTTTACTTCTTTGTGTGTAAAAGGGTACACTGACAGTGCAAGTAGACTACTTTGATTAGAGCTAGAAGTTTGTGTTCTTATGATTTAGAATATGTTACCTGCAACAAATTAGTATAATTTTGTTTGTGGATATATGGTTCTTATTTGACCCAAAACATGAGCATATTTTGAACCTTTGATATAATTTGAAATGCTTGATTAAGTCTGCCTGAGAATGATATACTTAACCTATAAAATTATGTTTCAGCTGGTAAAATATTCTTATACTCAAATAATAATAGTAATAGACGAGCTGGTCCATTTCTATTACTATTGGTATATATCAGTATATGCATGATCACTAATCAATGAACCTTGTTACCTTGATAATCATTATGTGATTCATTCTGAACGAGGAGATCTTATTGTGAAACGAGGATATTTTGCTAATGTATTTGTTAATTTAGCAGGTAGGATATCTTTGCAAATGTACTGCTAGTTATAGGCCCTTATGCGCATTATATTTCCAATTGCAAAATGTAATTCAATGATCGTGAGAAGCAAGTAAATAATCCAATTAGAGAAAGCCTTTTTTTTTTTTTCCTTTTAATGCTTAATATTAACATAGTAGCTTTTGCTGTACTTTTCTCAACAATATAATTGTAATTAAATTAGTTTACAATTTTGGGTGTGTGTTGAGCACTAGAAACAGATTAGAAGTTGACTGTGATGGTGACAAGTAACAATGAAAAGGTTTTGTCAGGAGGTTGTAGCTTAGAATAAGAGTACCCATTGCTTTAGATTTCCTTGAACTGCTACATAGCTTATGACTAAAAAACCAATTAAAACCCAAAATTTGCTACCGTTTCAGCTTTACTACTTCCACTGCTTCATATTGTTCTCAACCTGCCACTTGTAAGCCTTGGCTTTTGTCATTTTTGTTTATGATTTTCTGAATTATATTCATAGAGAACTTTGAAGATTTTCATTGTTATCCATGACCTTGTTATTTAACTCTTGTTTTTTATAAGCTTATAGTTTGATATTTAATAATAAATTTTACTTATCTACATACTCACAGTGGTGTAATATTCTCTATGCAGTGTTTTTTTGATACACCAGGGCTCATGTTGAATTACGGTGGCTTTCTTTATAGGGATGTCAAGGTCCGTGTTGAAAGTGGTTGGAGTTCAGTCAATCTCTATGAAGTGCTCATAGTCATTTTTGACGTTCATAGACATATTACCAGGTCAAAGGTTTATTATTTAAATTAAGGAGTGGTCTTACTCTTGTGTTTTTCCTATTGCTTTTTATATTAAGTCTCTGTTTGGATAAGCTTTTTCATTGGTATTATATTAAAGTAGAAAATACAAAGGTAAAATGAATTGAATTACTCTTATAAGTTAAAATCAACTTATTGTCTCAGGTTCTGGAGAAGTTAAAAGAGAAATTTTTTATTTTTTATAAAAAGTTTATTATAACTTATCCAAATAGAAAAGCTATAGGCTTTTTTGGGGGAAATGCAAATAAGGAATTGATGTGAAAATTGTGTATGTTGATACGAAATGGAGGGGGGACACCATTTAAAATGTCTTGGTAATTACTCAAAGTGTTCCTTTATTATAAGTACTATTTTAGCAAGAGTTCATTCATAATTTAGACTTTCCAGTTTTTCTATTTTCTTTATTCCTAGAAAATATGGCTTAGGCTGTTTTTTCCTTTTAGATATACTTTGAATTTGCAGAAAATGTGATATGAATAATGTCTTACTCTTCTATTAGTATTCACCTTATCTCAGTTAGTCAGATATTGCTGCTTAACTTAATAGTTGGACGATACTTTGGGATTTATGGTATCTCTTTGAATTTTAAAAATATTTATATGAATGTATTGGTATGCTGACTGATCATGGGTGCCAAGCAGTGTACTAGCACCAATCACAAAATCCTCTATCTCCACAAGGGATATACTGCTCTTCTGGTTATCTGGAAAACTGGAACCCTATACGTTTCCATAGATTCTTGTTAAACTAGAGCCTCAAACGCAATCTGTTATCACCCTATTTTTACCTCTTAACCTTTTTGCCTTATTATATAGTTTTATGTTTTGATGGCACATTTTCTTTGTTGTTATTGGTGACCTCATCCAATTAAAAATTTGATGAACACAGGCCTGATGCAAGAGTGATACAATTAATTAAACGAATGGGAAGTCGACCTGTTCTAAATCAAAGGCGAATTTTGTGTATGAACAAGATTGATTTAGTAGAGAAAAAGAAAGACTTGTTGAAGGTTGCTGAAGAATTCAAAGATCTTCCTGGATATGAAAGGTAAGGTTCTCTTGTAGAAAGACAAGGGTAGAGAATGTCTGCAGAATGATTGCAACGTTTGTGTGGATTGACTCTAGTTCTTAAGCTAGCTTCTAATACCTTTTTCTTAAATATTATTATTTAGGCATTTCATGATATCAGGACTGAAGGGGGCTGGAGTAAAAGATTTGACTCAGTACTTGATGGAGCAGGCATGGATCTTTCAATTTCTACTGTCTCCTAGGTCTAAACAAATAATTAAATAGTTTCTTTAAGGAATCAACAATGTGTTTTTTTGGGCATAGGATGAGACTGCCCCATCTGGTGGGATGATACTTAGTAATTACTTTTACAATCATGATTGCTTCGTTTTTGTTACTATGCATATTTTTTTCTTTTACGATTACAGTTTTTATGGTTCTTGCAGTTGCAGGTATCTCTAATTAAATAATCCCTCATTTGAGTCTGGTTTTTTATTTGTTTCTTATGCATAGGCAGTTCAACGACCCTGGGAAGAGGATCCACTTACCATGAGTGAGGAAGTTCAGAAGATGATAGCATTAGAAGTTGTGCGTGAAAGGTTATTGGACCATGTACATCAGGTAGTTGTTCAATCCAATCCATTCCTTCTTGTAACATGTAGCTAAAATTTGTAAGAAATATATGGTAGGATTTGGCTAATAGTGTAACAATATTATATATTGACCATCAAATTTATCAATTCAGGAAATTCCGTATGATGTTGAACATCGTTTGATTGACTGGAAAGAGTTACGAGATGGTTCTCTTAGAATCGAGCAACACTTCATCACTAACAAATTAAGCCAACGCAAGATTCTTGTGGGGAAGAATGGCTCAAAAATTGGGTAACTTTTATTTTTATCCTTTCCTTTCCTTTATGTAGCTTAACAGATTTTTGCTATTATTATTTCATCAGATTCTCCTGTTTTGAATTTTATAGGAAATGATTGGAATGTTTTGGTTTAAGTTCAATCAAAGCATATGGGAAAAACAGGGTTATCTCCACCTTGATTCGTGTTGTATATTTGAGACTTTCAAGTATAGTTGTTCACTTTTCATCTGCTGAAGTTGTGTATTTAGATTGGTTCGTCATGATGGTTTTCCCAACACAGGAATAGAACCAATAAGCTTCTTGTGCATGAAATTTTCCTTTTTTTGTAGATTGTTCCTTTTTCATCTTAGGTCCTATTTTATTTTTTTCAGTTTGTTGTTTGAATCTACCTTCTGACGCCCTTATCCATCCCCTGTGAGGCAGTGTCTGCTTTGTATTCAATTTGTCATCCCTGCTTCCTTTAGATGAAGAGTTATTTGGGTTTCTATGTTGAGGTTGGAAACTTTGTATTTATTGACGCTTGTTTAATACAGGAGAATAGGAATTGAGGCCAATGAAGAGCTAAGGTCCATTTTCAAAAAGCAAGTGCATCTAATTCTCCAAGTTAGGCATAAAAAATGAATCTAGCATAGATTTGATGTTGAAGTGTACCTTCTTTGCTACACCATGTTATGCTGTATGTGAAATGCCAAAGCTATATGGCCGTGTCTTACCCTTACTTTTGATGTCTCTACAAAGTAACAAAACCATGCTAGATGTCTTGGTGATCTTGGAGAAAATCATGGGCGCAGGTTGAGTTCATTGTTGATCGTGCCTACGAGCAAAATTTTGTACCTATTTCCTATTTGGTTTCCCATTTTTAAGGAGTTGGACTCGTAAATTTTATTGTGTATGAATTTTCAAATGAAGTTTCCATATTTGTTTTGGTTACTTCAACATAATTTGGTTTATATATGTTTTTATTTTTACAAAAGTAGACAACTGGCAAATTTGGTGAGATAAGAGGCTTTGTTGTAAAATCTTGTCTTCTGTACAGAAATGTCGATGATCAAACTTTGCTTAATTCCCATCTATGTTATCTAAACATTCTAAGGTTTGTAAGATATGTGTGAAACTGGAAATTGGTTTCTCCTCTTCCACTTGGGTAGTAAAAAAAATGTGAAGTAAAATATTTTATGTATTTGACTCATTTATCTAATCGAGTATAATTAAAAATTTGAGCTTGGATTATTCAAAAAATATTAAGTTTGAACTTTGTTGCTTAACTTATTTACAACTTAATTTATTTTTTTTCATCTTTATCAGTATAGAACGTAAAAATTATTTTAATGTTACTCTGTATTATATATAAAAGAACTCCTTTTTATAATCGTTTAGGTCGCATACGATGTGATGGAGAAAATATAATACATATAATGAATGAGGAATATAAGATAATAGCAAAAAAAAAAGAATAAAATAATTAAAAAAATATTTATGCATTTGAAGGAAAAAAAAGCATGTAACATATACGGAAGTAAAAATAGAAAATGTCTCATAATAAAAAAAAAAAAAAAAAAAAAAAAAAAAAAGATAAAATTTTAAAAAAGTAATAATATAAAAATGTGAAAAAACACTTTGTAGTAAAAACATTTGTGTTTTCACTAGTTTATAATAAAGAAACTCGTGAAACGCACTTTTACTGCGTGATACTACTATAAGTTTAAAGTTTGAAAAAACATTTTCTTAAATTTCAATGTATAATTAAGAATTCCAATATAAAACTGAAGAGGACAAAGTTGTTATTTTGGAAGTAAAAGTACTTTTAAGCTCACTCAACTTTACCTTTGCAAATAGATTTGATGTTGAATTCTACCTTCTTTGCCACACTGAATGTGAAATGAAAAAATTGTGACACCCCTTACACTTTGAAGTATTTATTTATTACATTCTAGTATGAGTCCAGTTGACTTTCCAATATATATTGTTCAATAATTTGTAATATACGGTCATTGAGAGCATCATCACAACATAAAAATCATAGATATTGAAAAGAGGGAATGTTATTCTTTTTATTACAACTGCATTTGATCTTTCACCTTTATTTAGATCCACTAGGTTAGGCTGAATTAGGCAAACCCGTTTGAGAACAGAGAGGATGAAGAAGATACCTAACGCTACTGAATCAGAGAGATGGTATTGCTGAGTATACAAGCTAACATTTGGAGATGATCTCACTCCAAGCAAGAAGGGTGAAGTATAAATCAATAGGAGCCGATGCTCAAACCCGGCACTTATTATATCACAGATTTTATAAGGACCAGGACAGCAGGCATTGTTTGAGTTCTCCATCCAGCCCTATAGATAGTAGCCATTCATTTTCTCACAGTCCATGAACATGAAGCTTTGTGTATTTATGGATTGCAGGCAAAATTCATGGAATTGAAGAGTTGCATGGTCCAAATAAAGCATTTGAATGTGTAACTTCCACATTGCATTTATCAGTTAAGAAATCATGACTCAAATTAAAAGATTAGGAATCAATTGTTGATTATGTATCACTTGTAGGAAGACCAATTTTGGCCCTGAAATGGGAAAGGGCCCTCACTCATGACTCAACCTCTGTTGCCACTTTCCATCCACCTCAATGGCACTATATCCTGGTACCTTTTTGATTCCCAGATCCTTCATCTTACTCCTCACCTTTCTCACATCTTCCCATCTGTCAGCAGAAGCATAAATGCTAGCAAGAAGTGTATGAAGACTTGAATCACTTGATTTAACTTTCGCTAGGGCTGTAGCAAGCCTTTCACCCATATCAATATTGCCATAAGTTCTGCAGGCACTTAGCAAAGCTCCATAGAGTGGAACTATTATTTCATTGTTTTCATCTGGTAACTTCCTTATCAACTCCTCTGCCTCTTGTAACAGTCCTGCTCGACCAAGAAGGTCAATGAAACACCCATAGTGCTCTAAATTTGGCTCAATGTCATATACACTTGACATGGAATGAAATAACTTTCTGCCTTCTTCAACCAATCCTGCATGAGTACAAGCACTCAAAACAGCAATGAAGGTAACATCATCAGGTTTTAAACCAAACATTTGCATTGCTTCAAATAACTCCAGTGCTTTACTTGTTTTACCATTCATAGCCAGCCCACAAATAATTGAAGTCCATGAGGCAGTATCCTTTTCCTTCAATCCATTAAAAATTTCCAATGACTTATCTATGCAACCACATTTAGCATACATTTCAATAAGGGCAGTACCAACCACAGCATCCACTAGGATACTGTTTTCATCTATGTAATTATGAATCCACTTGCCTTGCTCTAGAGCTCCTGATTGAGCACAACCCGTGAGAAGAGTAACCACAATGAACTTATCCGGTTTCACACCTCTCATCTGCATCTCCCCAAATAATGCAATTGCTTCTTCAAAACGATTAAACTGCACATACCCATTAATCATAGCTGTCCAAAGAACAATATCCCTACTTGGACTCCTCTCAAAATAATCTCGAGCTTGATCCAACCGACCACAGATCACATACCCGGTTACCATACTGGTCCAACAATTCACATTCTTCACTGTCATAGCATCGAAAATTTCCCGGGCCACGCTCACATGCCCACACTTACAATACATGTCCAACAAAGCATTCCCCATTATAGTAGTAAAATCCAGTTCATTCACTATGTAATCGTGAATTTCCTTACCAAGCTCCAAATTTCTCAACACCGTACACGCGGACAGACTGCTCACAACCGTGGCTTCATTAGGCTTTTCATTGCTCTCCTTTCGCATTCGCTGGTAAACATCCACAGCCTCCTGGAACCTCTTGCATCTGACATAACCCGAAATCATGATGTTCCAAGAAACCGTATCCCTCTCAGGCATTTCCTCAAACACCTGTGTGAACCCCTCAACCAGGCCCAACTCAGCATACATATCCATTAACGAGTTACTCACATAAGCGTCAAACTCAAGGCCAGTCTTAACCACAAAAGCATGAACCTTTCCCCCTTCTCTAACCTCTCCAATGCAACCAATACCCTTGAAGACATAAGGGTAGGTGTAGTTATCAGGCCAGACCCCATGTTCCCTCAGTTGCTGAAACAGAGAAATGGCACTCCTAAAACTACCCTTTTTCACAAAGGCCTTGATCATGAGATTATAGATAAACAAAGAGGGGTTGTGAATGTACTTGAAGATTCTGTTTGCATAGTTAAAATCCCCTAGTGATGAGTCCATGGCAAAGGCCATGAGCTTGTTAAGGGTGTCCCTATCTTGATGAAGACCAACACTGAATATGTGGGCCTGAATTTGCTTCAATTGGGACATGGATTTGCAGCTTTTGAGAAGAGAAATGTACGTGCCCTTCATAGGTTTTAAACACATCATAGTGTTGTTGGTTATTTGAAGATTATATCTTATATCATTGGTTTCACTCACCGACTAGCTGTAGAATGATAACAAGTTGGTGGGACAGAATGAAAAATCAGAGAATGACAGATTTTGTATGTGATGGATGGAACTGAGTTCGAAAAAGTATCTTGGGCCACTGAATTTTGGTGCACAAATTCTACAATCTCGTTTCCTCCTTTTCACAAGTACGAACAAGTGATAGGTGAAAGTAGTGCCGTTAAACAGGTTCAGTTCTATGGTCCAATAAAAAAAAATAGATGGTTGAGTCTCAACTATATTTTTAAACCAATGAATGATATTCTCTTTTTTTATTTAAATAATCAAAAAATATATTGAAATTACAATCTTTAATAAAAAATTGTTTAAAAAATGTGACTTGATTGACCAAATTTAATCATGGTTAAGTTTGATTGTATCTAACAAAAAAGATTATATAGAACTCAATTTTTTTCTTGCACCCTGTATTTTTTTTCCTGCCATCTTATATTCATCTAAAATAACATTATTTTCTTTAATATAAATAGGTTTCAAAAAGTTCATTTTGGAGAATTTTTAGATTGTACTTTTTAGAAACTTTCTATAACATTGTCGGAAATTGACTAGAAGATCAATTAAAAAAATTTAAAAATGTCAATTTGGAAAAAAAATAAAATGAATTTTTTAGAAATTTTTCATATTGACCCTATAGGAATATTTTAGAAACGTTCCAAAATCAAATTTGTATAATATTTCTGGAAATTGGTTATATAATGTTTTTAAAAAATTTCAAAGCTCGTTCCAAACAATTTTTAGTAAAGTGGATTCAAAATAATAATATACACAAATTGTACATAAATTCATTGTATTTCCTCTCACATTTCTGCTATATGCTCCTCTCGTCTTCTTCCAATATCAATTTTCCACTTCCTGCGTATTCAACTACTCGTGTCATAAATATTCCCTGTAATATGTGTTAAGTCTCAAATTTAGTAAAAACAAAAAAATTAAATAACATAAAAAAATTTATAACTCAATATTTTAAGTTTTTAAATTAAAATTGGTATAAATTTAGTTCATGTCTCTATATCTATTAAAATGGACTTAAAAATTAAAAATACACAAAAAGTCTTTTCATTTAACTTAGTTGAGAGTACACGAAAAATAAAATATGAATATACATTAATATATATATATATATATATATATATATATATATATATATATTTACGTTCTTATTTATTATTTTGTCAGAGTTATAAATATTAGAGTATTAGAAAAAAATCAATTAAAGATAACTATTATTTTAAGGTGTGATTATATATATATATATATATATATATATATATATATATATATATATATTAATATGTAAATATATTTTGGAGTTTATTTAAAAAGTGTTGTTTAAAAATTAAAAAAATCTAATCATTTTAACGTCTTCATATAAAAACCCTAGTATTTGTCCTTTCATATATTAATCTTTGTTATCCTTTTCAACGTCACGCACTATTCTATTTCGTTAAATTCTTCCAACAAAATATATATAACTAGACAACGTATTTTTTATATTACAGAGTAATGTTATATTGACACCACGATACAACCTCATTTATTAATATAATAAATATAAAAATATTAAAAATAATTTTAATTTCTTATTATATTATTAAAAGCGGTTGTAGATTATATGTACGAAAAGAAAGATTGTCAAAATAATTTTTTTTCCTATAAAAACAACGTCACAACTCAAATTATCATGAAGTGTGCATATGCATGAAGTAATGTTTCAATTTAGTTTAAAATTTTCTTTTCTTTATTAGTACAAACAAACAAACCAAAAATAAAAAATATATATATAAAATCAAGATCTATTTACCTTTTTCTCTTTATATATATATATATAGCATTCATGTCGGAAACACTGGTATTTACCTGTTATGTTGTCCATACCGGGTTTCACATTTTATTTGATTTAATCATCTTTCAGATGGTTACAGAAAAATTGGTATATAAGACATAGTCAACTTTCATGATTGAATATTGTCAACTATGAACCCTAACTTTTTATAATCCTTTAATTTATTTAAAGAGTTCGAGACCACAACCTTCTCTCTCTAAAATATTCAAATTTTTGAGTAATTCTGTCTTTATACAACAGAGTGCACATTATTTTTACTTTATTCTATCATAAAAATGACTTTCTATGATAAACAAATATTATAATAAAAAATTAATTAATATAACTAATTTTTTGAGTAAACTAAAATATGCACACTTGAATATATTTTCAAAAAATTAAAAATCAAATTAAAAAGTATGTCGATGGAAATAAATAAAAGAGATAATAAGTAATTTATAAAAGTGATTGTGGGAATAAAATAGTGAAATAAAAATAGTGGTTTAAAAGTTGTCACTGGACTTGAAGACGAGTACCACAAAAAGTGTTTATGTATAATAAAATTTGAAATTACTTATAAGACCTATTCATTATATTATATATAAGACTTTATTTTTCAATTTGGATTGTTGGTATTATGAGAATTTTTAAATTATTTATTATAATAATAATTATTTATCAAATTAAATTTAATTATTTTGCAAAAAATATTATAAATATATTTGGTAAATGCATTATTTTATTGTTAAGATTAAAAAATAAATAATAATTAATTAGGTTAAAAACAATTAATAACTCAAAGCCATATAATGATTTTCAATAATTTTAAGAATAGTTTATATTGTTTTATATATCTTCCCCTTTTTATTTTATGCTAAAGTTTTATAATTTAAAAATATAAGTAATTATTGTTTATTGCAAGAAAATATAAAATAAGAACTGAAATTAACCACTTAACATTTTGGTCGTTAATAAAGATAGAAAACATTACTCAAATTTTGATGATTATTAGCTATATATTGAGATGGTAAATTTATAGAAAACTAGTCACTCTTAAAATGTAGTGACTGAATTAGATATATGCAAAATGCTGGTCTCTAAATCAGCTATATATAGTATATTTTTAATTTATTTTTATATTTTTGTGATGGAATTAACATAATCCCAACTTTTTTAAAATGGAGACGGAAATATTTAGGTTTTAAAATGATAAAAAATTAAATTAAGAAGAGACATTTATTTTATTCTTATTTTGAAAACTTATGTTCTTATCTTATGAAATTATTTTCTATCTCTTATATGAAAATTAATTTATCAAAATTATTAAAAATATAGGTAAATTAGTTAATTTTAATTAAAAGTTAAAATTTATATTTTATTATAAAAGCATTCATACTATCAAAGTATCGCAGCATTACTTTTGCTCAATAGTGATTTGAATGTTTAAAATATCAATAAATTCATAAGCAGAAAATCTGTAAAAGATTTTGCCTTATAATTATTAAATCATTATAAAAAATAATTCTCATCACGTGTAAAACTGAGTTCATATTTTTTGTAACTATGATCAAATAATTAAATTAATTTATATGATGAAATTCGTGATGTAAAAAGGGTTAATTTTAATACAATTTTGAGACAAAATATAAATAAAATAAAATAATTATATTTTATATTAATTTTTATTTTGATTAAGATTAAGATTATGTTCACCTTTTAATAAACTTATCAAATTGATTATAGTTATTGCTTGAATAAAATATTTAATAATTAAAGTAAAAAAAAAATTCTCTTTTCAAACAAATATACTTACTAATGGTAATTACACAATTAATTTTTTCCGGATAAGATTAAAAGAAAAAAGTTTTGAGTAAGCTCTTTTATAAACATTTCATTAAATAAAATATAATTAGGTAAGTTGTTTATAATTTTAGTCATATTGAATAAATAATCATAAAAAAATAAGTGTTAATTAATATTTTTCAATGACATTTCACAGGTTTCGTCTGGTCGAAGGTAAGAGACAAAGAGAAATCACCAAACTTGCCATTAATATATAGAATGTCAATCAATACGACAAAACTAGTAATGTTTTGCATTAAAAATAAAATTAAAAATAAAATAAAAATAATGAGAAATGAAAACAAAAAAATTATCATCACTCATCTTAAATAATTGAAAAAAAAAAAAAAATATATATATATATATATATATATATATAATAAAAGTTAACACTTACCTCAAGAAATGAATTAATGTAGCAGTGTTTTTTTTTTTTTCTGTATTCTACACACTGAACCTATCGCTTACAACTGAAGGTCGTCGTGACACAGAACATGCATGCAGATGTGTGAAACCTCTGCCATATTTATCGTTTTTAGACACTGATTTGGAAAATAGTAACTGCTCCATTCATGGTCTTCACAAACATTTAGGTTATTTTTGTTGCACTCGCCTCCATCGCCATCCACTGTGATCCATGTTTGTTTCATACTCTTCTCAACTCTTGTCTCAATGCCTTGTTACTAGGAATTGCCTATTTCTTGAACCAATAACTAAACTTTGTTCTTGGAACATGTGACTATGTTAACCACGATTATTCAATGTCAAATTCATTTTAAACTAAAAAGATTAAAAGATTATACTTTTAATATATATTATATATTAATATATTATATTGTTGATATATATTTGAATTTGGAATCTTTACAAATTCCAAAAGCTAACATGATAAACCAGCTTTTTCCTTCTCGTGTTAGATATAAGATTTTTCAGCGAAGTCAAAAGATAAGAAATTAAGGTGAGGTCCCTTTCTTCTGAACGGTTGTGCCTTCAACGCATGACTTTATGATGCATGCATGTTGAAACACTCGTGTTCACCTGTAGCATGGTCCAAGGTTTTATCGATTTCACACTTGATTTAATTATCATGACAGACACATTATATCTGATACAATGGTGGTCGATGAATGGACCATGCATAGTCAACGTTCATGAATGTACATTGTCTATCGTGAATTCTAGTTTTTCACAAACCCACTATCTAAAAAAAAAGTTAGTGTATATTCCTTTTCTAGTCATAAAAATTTAGAGACTTTTATAAAATATCTATTGGTAATCATCTGTCAGTAAAATATTAAGTGCATGTAAAAAATTAAAGTCATAAAAAAAGTTATGTGAAAAAAATTAAAATCTTAGTTAAGGAAATTTTATAAATTAAAATTAATTTATACAGAAGTTAATTAATAAAAAAATATTACATTTTTTTATTTTGTATATATAAATTAAATTTAATTTATGATTTTTATTATTTATTAAAAAGTACTTAAAAAAAAGAACATATTCTAAACAATTTTATAATTAATTCTTTAATAACAACAAAATAAAGAGAATTAAGTGACTAAATATTAAAGTAAAATATCTCATGACTATGAGGTATTGACAATTTGTACGTGTAAGAAGTATAATCACAAGAAAAAAAAGTTGCTTATTGTCCATCACAAATATGTACTGTGTTTCTTCTATACCCATGATTGTGTTTTAAAGAGCTTGAAAATGGCACTATGGGACCATATAATATATCTGAACCATGCAGAAAGAATTAACTATAAAAGAACTAATATAAAAACCTTGTGAACTTACTCTCAAAAATAATAAAAAATAATATTGATATACTATTCTTTTTTTAATTTTAAGAATAAAACTATAATGATTTATTTAGGTGTTCTAAATTGATTAGAAAAAAAAACACCAAATTCAAATAATAAATGGTTTAGTTTAACAACCATTTTGTATGTTTTTTGGTTGATTTGGTTTGTTAATATTCCTGTAGAACCACAGTGAGAATTAGTGGTTAAGTGTTTAATTTATTTTATGAAATTATAATAATTTTGCAGTAAGCCTTGTTTTGAAAGATGGTGAAAAGAATTTTGGGGGAGTGACAGTGACCTCCAATAAGGGACAAAACCTGCAAACTCATTGAGCAAGGAAGATAATAAGTGTGAGATGTGAGACATATAAAGTAGAAATGAAATATATTGTATAGTAGAAATAATGTACTTATTTTATATGCATATGGTTTAATAAAATTAACTTTTTTTTTTCAAAAACTAAACCAATTTTTTTTTACCTATTTACACCTTCATTTCAGAATAAAAATCTCAAAGTGAAACAAAAAAAAAAACATCTGGGGATGAGTAACGTAAACTAAATGCAGCAACTAGGGTGTGGTCCTTTTGTTTTTGTTTTTGTTTTTTTTTTTAAATTGGTCCTTTTCCTCCTTCAATCAAAACAAGTGCCAAAGTTGCCTGCTTTTTGAAAGTCTCGTACCTGTTTGGTGGTCCAACAGAGTTAAGATTGCAGTTTGTACAGCAAAGGATTCTAGTGGTTTCACAGTATCTGTTGTTTTTTATCATATAAAGAGTAATTATTTAATATATGATAAACAATTAATAACATTTATATTCTAGTTACATTTTTTATTTATAAACTAAATATTTACCTTGATATTATTCTTATATTTGTAGGATAAAAACTTTCAATCTATCTCAATTTTATGATATTTTAAAAAAATTACCTAATTCATATAACAAGAAGGGGATAACCAGTTTGTATTAAACCCAACCAACAGGACCAAATCATATTTTGCCAGAGTTTTTTTTTTCTTATAAATGTGGAAGTCAAATAAAATTGTACTTCAGATTAGACATATAAAAAAAATACCAAAACGACAAATCCTAAAAGTTGTTTACTGTGCAACAATTTGTGTCACTTCTGTGCAGGAGGACACTCGTGTCTCTCTTTGATTGTGCGCACCAAAATGCTAAGTATGCCACAAATATGTCCATCAACAGTTAACATACTGTTCATTACACTAATCAAATTATTCTTCTATTTTTATTTTTACTTAGGGGGGCTTTGTTTTCTTGAAGTTGATCAAATAAGAGCTTTTTTAACAGAAAAAAAGTACTAATTAATTTTTTTTTCACATCAATTATTGATGACTGTGTTAAAAAAAGGATTTTGAAAGCAAATAGAGAGAACTGGCAAATCAGAAAGGGTAGAAGGAGTGATGGGGGTCCATATAATATATCTGAGTAGGACAAAGGGAGCTAGGTTAATGATAGCATGGAGAAAGATGTTGGAATTATATAAACAGTAGGAAATGTATTAATATATTGTTATGTAACTTAAAGAATTGTAATGTTGTGTTATTACTATTATTATTGAATATAATGGACCATTCCTTTTTTTTGTTAGTGGAAGCCGAAGAAGCACACTATATTATGATATGAAATGGCCATGTCTTGTGTTGGTTGGTTGTGTGGGGCATCACACAAAGCATCCCAATTAATTTTCCTTGTCTTTCTGTTTGTCCATATTTTTCGTCTCACAGACCCTCACTGATCCTTAATTAAGAGCTAAAAGCATAGAAAAATGGAACTACACGTAGAAACTTCAAAATTGGACAAAAGAAGTGGTTCTAGTGTTTGTGCATGTCATCTGACTTCCCTTCATCATTCTCATTTCTCTTTCCTCGGCTTTTCCATTATTTTCACTCTCTCTCTCTCTCTGTAATCTTATCTCCTTTTTGTTTGTCTCTCATCACCACTCCATAGTGGTGAATTTTTACAAAGCAGTACTAATAGTAGTATAATATTAATACCTATACCCCCCCTCTTGTTGTTCATATTCTTCAAAGTCCAAAGTAGCTTCTCACTGCAGATTCTTTCTCCCTTTTTTTTTATAGTACAGTACTACGTAAGTGCATCTTTCCACTCATCTTTTCACCTAAAAGACTTGCATTTCCTTTCACCCTTTCTTCTATTTCTTACATGCATTTTGAAGCCCTGACCTGCTTTAATCATTGCTTTCTCACTTTTTCTGGGGTCTGGTTTTGCTTCTCTTGTGTTGTGGAGTTTAGTGGAGGCTCTCTCTACCTTGTGCAAGTAAAAACTTTTGGTTGTTGATTTGAGAAATTTGTGTTTACCTCTGTTTGGTTCTTAATTTTAGTGACAAGATGCATTATGCCTGCTATTTTAGTGTAAAAATTAGATCTAAGGGGGAACTATTAATGGGGATTCTCTAATTTTATGTTACTGGCGTGTCTTTTCTTTTTTTTGCTTTACTAATTTCAGTTTCTATGAAAGTTTCTGTTCTAGTCTGAACCATAAACTTGGTGGGTTGGGTTGGGTGGGTGGGAGTTTATCTTCTTTCCTTTGAGGTTGTGCAATCTTTTCAATATTCTGTTTGATTTCAATGTTTTGAAGAAGCTTTGGGTGGTTGGTTGGTTCATTGCAAGAGATGTTTTATATGAGAAAGAATGCCAAATGAATTGATGAGTAATGTAGGAATCTGTTGGTTGGCACCTTCACATGTAATACTCGAAACCGGGTTTTTTAGTTTTCTTTCTCTTTCTCTTGGAGTTCACATGTAATAATGTCTTTGCATTTGTGGGTATTTGTGTTTAAATATTTTTTTACATGCACAAACTCTTTACCCAATCTGTGAAAACTAGTCATATGACTGCATATGAATATGATGAAAAGATGTTTGAGAAGTTTGTCATGGGAGTTCTGAAAAGAGATTGGGTCAATAGCATTACTCTATGATTTTGGCAGATCCTGTTTGTTGCTGTTTCTTTAGAATGATGCTTATTTTCATTGTGTTGTTTCCATTCTATTCAGTCCTTAGATTTATCAGGCTCTCACATTTTGAACATGCAACTGATAGTTTAACTACTCGCACTTTTTTGCTTGAAATTTTAAATGAAACTGATCAGTTTTATTCTGAATGGAAAGCATTTCATGCTCTTTTTCAATATATGAAATATCAAAATCAGTTGTGTTGCAATTCCTTAGTTTAGACAAACCTTAAGGGAGAAGGAAATAAACATCTCCATTTTCTATTGGATGAAAACTAAAGAAAATGAGTGAAGGTCGTGCTCTCTAGTGCTTATTGTTGGAGGGTTATTCAACCGTTTGACTGTTACATGTGAAAATTGTTTTTGCTATATTGTGGGTTAAGACTCCAATAATAGAAAAGAAAATTGTATCAGAATTCTTCATACTTTGGTGCTGAACCTCTGATTTCCTATGCCTACAAGGTTAGCCAGAGCAACCTATCACTAGTTGGATTAAGCAGTCAAGAACATGAAAGTATGTGATATGTATGTAAGCTTAAAGCTACCTTTGAAAAAGCACTACAAAATTTTGGATAAATAAAAGTACTTTTCAGAAAGTTGTCAAAAGAAAAAGAATTGCTTATTTTGGTCTTTAAATTTCCTTTTGACAAAATCTGTGCCTATTTGCCTTTGTTATTTCTTCTATCAACAAGCATTTGGCGAGGACATAATGCAAGATGCTTGCTTGGATTAGTTTATTTTCTTTCTAGAAAAGCACATTTTTTTTCAAAATTCTCAAGAGATCCCCTTTTGCATGCAAAATAAGTTGGTCCAAGCATTTTTACAAAGTTTATGTTTCAAATGGCGGTGATTGATAGTATAAAGATTGTAATTTTGCTCTCAGGTTAGTCAAATGAAAAAAATTCTGACATCATGTATGATCATCTCTTTCATTTTAGTTTCTTACCATGACTGATCAGTAAGCATAGTAATATATAAATACAGTTTCGAGAATTTAATTTTGACTTGCACCCTTTGTCAGAGTTGACAGTTTCAATAAAATTGTTGACTCTGATATAGTTAAATTCACAGGTTATTTTGCAGCTGCAAATCTTGGGTTGGGTGCCATTGCTGTGTATTTTCTCTTATATGAAGTTGCTAAACTTTAAATAGAGAATTGCAATGGATGTATTGCCCATAGTTGTTTACAGCTCTAATATCTGTTTGATTGAATGTGGATTTTATTTTTCTTTTTTCCATTTCATCTTTTTACCCTTTATCCCAAAAAGTGTGTAACATTTACTTTAGGGTAAACAGAAGATTTGAGTAATCTATAAGAATAAAAAAGTCTTTATAATTTACTTTTCTATCTTCTCTACTACATTTCACTGATATCTCTTCTGATCAATTACACATGTAATTCCAAGTATTCTCCTATTTTTTTCATATATTCTATTATTATTTATCTTAACTTTGTGACCTCCTTCTAATACATGTTGATAACCTGCATGGCTCAAACTGGAAAATTTGTTTTTGTAACAGCTTTGGTGTTTGCATTAACTGTTACTTGAATAAGAGTTATTTTAAACAATTGGTTTATGTAATGTTAATGATGCTTAGCCTTGTCTACTGGGAACTAATGTATTGAAAATTTAAAATTAATACTATCCAGACATTAATGAAACAGCTTTAATATTACGTGAACACAAAGGTACGTGAAATGTTTTATGTTGTCATTTTCTATTCTGATATTTTTTTCCCTTTGCATTGCATCATCAATCACTTCTCAGTCTAAACCTTTGCTAAGTTCTTATTTTTTGTTTATATATATGAAGGAATTGCTTGGCCATGCTTGGTTTGCATGACTTCGATTGACTACTTGATATTAACACCAGAATTTCGCATGTTTTTAGCTTTTACTTTGTCATATGACAAATAACGCGCTTCATCATCAATGCAGATGATGCTCAAATGGTAAGCTGACTGAAGCAAAAGTTTGTTCTATTCATTCCAATTGTTTACTGGGAAAGAAGTTAGCTCATAGCAGATCCATATAAACATGATGACACCAAACTTGAACCTGGATCCTGAAGATAATGTAAAAATCTGCGGCCAAGTAGGATCAGATGAAATGCTACAAGAAACAACACATGATTTTACTATGGACAACATCACCGGTTCCTCGTGTCTTACCAAGGCTGATCCTGATCCAGGTTCTCTATCCCTTGACTTGACCCTCAACTTCAATCCCGGTGAGGAAGAGTTGAAAGGCACAGGTGATCCTGGCTGTGAAGTAGGAGGTGAAATTCATGCCTCAGCATCAGCAATTCCAAGAATTTTCTCTTGTAACTATTGTCGCCGGAAGTTCTTTAGCTCGCAGGCATTAGGTGGCCATCAGAATGCTCACAAAAGGGAGAGGACAATGGCGAAGCGTGCAATGCGAATGGGGATGTTCGCGGACAGGTACACTAGCCTTGCATCTCGGCCTCTTCATGGTTCTGCTTTTCGGTCCCTTGGACTTGAAGCTCATGCTGCAATGCACCAAGGACATGTGCATTCACTGAGGGCTCCTGATATGAGGGCTGCGGCAAAATTCGGGAAAGACTATTTTCGAACACCAATCTTTGTTGAAGATGATGATGTTGGTCTGTTTTGGCCTGGCAGTTTCAGACAGGTAGATGAAAGGGTTGGCACTGTTGTTAATCTGAGGCATGATGAACATGCTCATAATTCAAGTACTAGGTTTGTAGCAACTGATGCTCCAGCACAGACATCTGCATCTCCTGATCTCACTCTGAGGCTTTGAGATTTTTCATCTTGATTGAATTCAAACTCTTGTTTTGTGGTATGCACAAACATATCTGTACAAGCCTCCTCATGTTCTCACTGTAAAGCTTTTAAGCTTTTTCATCTTTAGTTTCTTTCTCTTCGGACTTAGAATTATCAATTTACGGTTATTGTAGTGTACAGTGAGACTTGTATTTCCAATGGCTTATTTAGCTTTTTTGAATTTCATTATTAAGCTTTTCATGGTTCTATTGTTGTAGCTACTGCACCATGTCCATGGATTGAAATATCAGTGTGTTTGGACTTCTGTTTGGAAAAACTTTTCTGTTGTAGCTTTTGCTTCAACCATGGTTTTGTAGTTGACATTTTGTTGGCATAAAGTTTACTTGATTTCTGTGAGTCAAGGTATGATGAGGAGGCAAGAATCAAGCATCTCAAGGCATGAAACGGTCCTTTAATTAATTTGATTCTGATTGAAGTATTGAGTAAATATACAATCTCCAAAAGTAATAATTACTGTGGTTTTAAGGAAGTGCATGTCTAAAAAAAATATATGTGAAAAGTTTTGTGTTTGTCTTGTGAAACATGAACACTGACTAAACAGAGATTTTGAAGAGGTAGAATGTTGCGTTATTTGTGCACGTAGATGGGTACGAAACTTAGTGGCAGCATCGCATGTTGTTGACATCGAAACAAGAAAAAATGACTAACATTTTTGGTTGATGCTGACATGCTCTTGCCAAATGCATTATTAATCTCCCTCCAACCATACATTCAACAAAACTGTTTTCTTCAATCAAACGACCTCAAATTATTATCATTGCGACAAGACAAGACACTCCTCATTCACCAACTTTTCTCAAACTTCGAATGACCATAATTGTTTTAGAAAATTTTGAGTAAATCATTTAACCTAAGATTGTAAATAAATCCATTTAATTTTTAAATTCAATATTGATTTTGTTTACATTCATATTATTATTCACCTTCTATCATTGATTGATTTATGTTCAACTATTACAATGTGCAAAAATTTATTGAGCTTGTAATAATTACAATAATGCAAGCGGTTTTAAATTTTTGGTTCTATAAATTAGGAAGACCCGTGACAGGAAAAAAAACCATCATAAAAAAATAGTTACGAAATATTCTCTTCATACCAAGCTTAAATTCAAGTGTTTCTGTTTTCACTTCGGTTCTTCATAAATTAATTTTCATACTTTATTTTTTAATTAATTGAAATTGATATCGCTATTTTATACAAAGAGTTTTGCATAAATTTTAATTGCAAAGAATTTTTATTTTTTTTAAAGAAATAAGGGATTATATTATATTACATATTTTTTGAAAATTAACTTAAAAATAAATATACTTATGTTTCTTCGGTACATAAAAAAAAGTGCTGATTTATGAACCACCGGCCATATATATCATCTTTTATTTTTAAATAATTAAATTGATATAAAATTGATAAATTTATTACTTTGAATTAATTCTTAATAAAAAAATAAAAATAAAATTTTTAAAATTTTATACAAAATATAATATTTTAAATTTTTTCAATATGAAACTAATTAGATTAATTTTAAATAATAATTACTTTATTATATTTTGATCTTATTTTAATCATTTTATTGTATTTTTATTTGTAATTTATGATTACTATTATACTGATAGTGATAATAACTTTTTTTTCAATAGAAAATTATTATATATTTATCATATTATAAAAATATTATTTTATTAAAAACATATAACTTAATGTTTTATGTTAACTTATAAATTTGTATTATATTTTGAATATTATTTTGTATAAAATTTTAATCATGAAATAATTTTATCAATATTTATTCGATTCATATTATAATTAACCATTAAATCTTAAATTAGTGTAAAGGGTGTTTGAACGGTGTTAAAATCAGATGGAGAAATAGTTGAGAATTTTATCCATTTTGATAGAACATTTTTACCTGAATCTTGACCTCAAACAACTCTTTGAAAATAAAATCACTTTCCAAACGGAATTCGAACGTTGAATTTGGCCCAAAGTGTTGAATAAAATGAGTGAAAAGGAAAGGGACAACAAAATTATGGGAACGCAAATTGCCATGAATAAGAATAAGAAAGAGCTTGTTGAAAAGGATAAAAAAAAAAAAAAAAGACTTGGTCCTCGCCATGTTTATTGAGAATAAAGACAAGTTTTCAATTTCACCCAAATCAAATCAAATCAAACAACATAGTTTTTTTTTTTATTTGTGTGATGATATTTAGGTTAGTTTCACTATAATAGGTTTATTTGTTCTAAAGTTACATCTATGTTTAATCCCCAGAAGAACAGTTTTACCAACTTTACCTAGAAAAAAAAAAGAAACTCTCAAAATCAAATCACTTTCCAGAGGGAATTCGAACGTTAATTTTGGTCCAAAGTGTTGAACTAAAGAGTGAAAAAGAAAGGGGACAAGAAAATCACAAATTCAGAGCAAAATTGCATAAAGTATTCCAATATTAATTTGATTAACCAAACCTTTTCAATAAAGAGAATTTTTTTCTAAATAAAGAAAAGGGAAATTTAATTTTTTCACAAACCAAAACTAGTGTATATAGCATTTATCTACAAGAGTTTTTTATATAATTCTTTTAGATTTTTACTTTGAATTTGTTAATAAACTTATTTTAATTTATGCAGAAAAATATTTTATTATGTTTGAACAATTTTTTAAGAATTTCTAAGAATTAAAAAAATTACACGTTATTTTATTAATAGATTGATTTTAATTTATAAATAAAATTAAGATTTTTATGGAAGAATTTGTGAATCATACCTTAGAAACGAGTATAAAAAAATAAATAAAAATTGGTCGTGATGGTATTTGCAAAAGAATAAAGTTATGGTCAAAACTAGGACCACAGTGTAGATTTTAATTCCATTTTGATCCTTCTGCAAGGGCCAAGACTGTAAATTACTTCTTCCATGATCTGACCATTTCTCGTTTTGGTCCGTGTACCAAATTTTTCTGATCTGTATACCAAAATATTAAAGCTAGTTTCTTTGAAATTTTTAATCATTTCAAAACCGAAACTGCACGCGTTACAGAGTTGAGTTATCTGTCTCTTGTTGATTGAGGAATCAAAACCGAAACTCAGAGAAAAAAAAAAAAACCCACGATTCTCGCTTGTTTTTCGGAATTATCTCTCTTTCGTGTCCCAAACACAGTTTTGGTTTTGGTCTTTGTCTTCTATCACTCTTTCTCTTTGGGTCTTTGCCTTTTCTTTGTGTTTCGTTTTCCTGTCTGTGTTCCTTCTGCCATGATTGGAGCCAAAGATCTTGTTCCCAATGGCGTGGACACCGAGGGGGAGAACTCAAGGAGCAAGGTGCAGCATCAACATCAGCAGCATCATGATTTTTCTCATGGCAAGGAACACCCGCAAGAGAAAAAACAAAGTTACCCAGAGAAGAAGGTTGGTGTTGATGAGTTTCAGTCGCCACCCACCAAATTTGCCTCTTCTGGGTTGCAAGAGTTGACCCTCAGCTACCTCTGTGACAACCCAAAATTAAGTCTTGTTGAGAAAGAGGTTGGTGGTCGAAACTTGGGGAAAGGCAAAGAAGTTGTGGTTTATGGGAATTCAGATCAAGATCAAGATGAGTTAAGGTTTAAATCATCTTTAGAAGAGGTGCCCGCATTTAGTGCACGGCAATACTTCGAACAGGATTGTCTCCGTAGGAAGATAGCTGTCGGGAACCAAAAGCAAGATCAAGATGCGAAATGGGTAGAGAGGGATTTCCTGAGTTTGAGTGAGTCACGGGAGAATTCTTCCAAGAGATCCATTGAGGAAGAGTGTGAGAGGGACAAGAGTGGTGGCAGCAAGAAGCAGAAGCTTGAGACTCTTAGTCTCTCTCTTGCTTTGCCTGATGTGTCCCTCTCTCTCACAGCCTCGAACGCCTTGCAAAACGGTGACCAACTTGTTAGGCCAAAGCCTGGTATGGCATCCACAAGGCCCACAGCTACGATCAATTCATGTTCAAATGATTACACTGTAGCTTCTATGTCTCACTCTTACTCTCACCCTTTCTCACACAACCCAAGTTGCTCACTCACTCGAAATTCAACCGACAATTTTGAGTATTCACACAGCAAAGATGATCAAATTTGGCATTGTGGGGAGGGGACTAACGGTTCTGTTCATAGCAGTTTCAAGCCGATAGGAGATGGGGTTGCTTTCGCCAATCATTCCTTTATGCAAGGGAATAGTCACTATAAGGGTACTAGCTCAGATACCCAGTCTTTTTTCCCTTCAGAATTGCCTGCAAGGGTGAGATTTGAAGCTCAGTCTGAGGGCTCAAGGGGAAAGAACTCTGAGAATCTGAGAGCCTTGGAAGGTGTGGATGGTGGGAATATTATGAAGTTTTCTAGATCAGAGAGAGTTCTAAGAGAAATTGTGTCTGAGAGTATCCCAGCCATGGCATTGACATTTCAGGAGTTTACTGATGAAATCATAACTTCAATTAAGGAACACTTGAAAGGTCTCATCGATATGCCAGAGAAGAAAGCGGAATTGTTGAACCTCCAGAACCGGCTTGGCCGAAGATCGGATATCACCAGAGAGACTCTTTCGAAGTGTCATAAAGAGCAGCTACAGATTTTGGCTGCTATCAAGATGGGGCTTGTTAGTTTCTTGTCTGGTAAGTTCCAATTCTTGGAGATGGTGGAGGTTTTCTTGTATATGAGATGTAGAAATGTGAACTGCAAGAGCTTACTGCCTGTTGATGACTGTGACTGCAAGATGTGCTCAGGAAATAAGGGGTTCTGCAGTTCTTGCATGTGTCCTGTTTGTATGAGCTTTGATTGTGCAAGTAACACTTGTAGTTGGGTTGGTTGTGATGTTTGCTCCCACTGGTGTCATGCCACCTGTGCCATTCAGAAGAATCTAATCAAACCCGGGCCTAGCTTGAAGGGTCCTTCTGGGACCTCTGAGGTGCAGTTTCATTGTATTGGCTGTGAACATACTTCAGAAATGTAT